TTCTTAACCAATCATTTTCCTGCATATTATTAGTTCCAAGGGTGCATCACATACTTCCCTTAGTTAATATTTTTTTCCTGTTTTTGAGATGGATCAGATGTATTCCATGCGGATGAATCGATTCTGTGCGAACATAAGGAAACTACGACGCTGCACAATAGCGATAGGATGAAACGTACAGTGACAGCGATTTCTTTACCATGTCGTCGCGTTCGTCTCTATGCGGCCTCAGGCGATCTGACTGAGGAGCTCAAATCAGAAGACGATGATAGGGAGATGGCAGTAGTAAATATCACTGACTTTCCACAGAGTGGCGCCTCTGTGCTTGAGGTGAATTTGCCCGGCAGGGGTGGGGGTTCCCTGCTGACTGTGGCTATTGGCTCACGCCTCGCCTTTTGCCGTCTCGGCGACTGTGAGGTTCATCTTTTCTGCACCATCGAGGTCTCCACTGATGCTGTTGAAGGTAGCGACGTCGCCAACCTTGCACGCTTGGACAAGAGTTGCCGCTTACAGCTGACTTCTGCATCTGAAGCCGAACGTCTTTACCGTTCCATCTTACTGCGCGTGGTGCGTCTCTTCATGGAGACCTCTGGCATGCTCAAAGAGCGCGAAAGTAAGCGAGTTTCCGGTCAAATTTTCCCTTGAAACGCATTGCTACTACATTTTCTTACCTAAACCCAACTCTATTGCTTTCGTGTCGTTAGGGTTGGTCGTTTTGCAATTTCTGTTTCCTTTTAGAATCAAGCAACTGCCAGGCATCCGAAAATGCATTAAGCGCCTAATTTAATATATAACTGTCTGGACTTCTTCGTATAAGTGCATCATATATTATGCCAAGTTTATATTCTCTATACATATACCTTTTGGAAGTGCAGTTCTCAGCTGCTCTGCATTATTATAAAGTCCTGCATGGCTATTTCGCTGTTAATGGTCTTCACTGTCTTTTTTTACTATCATACATTTTCTTTGAGCAGACATGATCAGTCACTGTTCTGAGATCGACTGTATTTGCTTGTCCTTTTTAAAGTAACTAAGGGTGTTCATCATGAGATTAAAATTTCTGGGCAACTTAGTGATTATTTTTTACTGCATCTTCGATTGCTGGATGACCCTAACGGCTCACAAAAGACACATCCCGCCAGCGAGTAGCGTTTTCGTGGGAGATGCGTGTTCATCTCCCAGCCACTAATAAATTGAGCGAGATAGCTCAAAGGAGTTCACTTTGCTGCCAAATTTCTTGAAAACCCAGCTGTTGCATTTGCGATCCAGTAATTACTGATTATGCGACGAATTCTTCCTCATGTAGCATAAAACTGGGAATACCGTCGGTCAAGCTATTCGATTTTGTACTTTAATTCGGTTTCCCTGCAATATTAGTTCTCACCGTGTCTCACTTGTTTGGCATTCTGATCCAACGCCCTTTCAGAGCGGTCTATGGGCCAGGTAGGGCTACCAGTAGCCAATCTAGAGAACCTGCCATTATGTTTGCTTAGTTTGCTCCAACTTGGGGCGTTGTATCTATGACAGGGTCATGCAAGCCTCCTTTGAAGCGGTCGGATATTCCGACTTCAGTGGTTGATTGTCAAATCTGAATCT